AGTGTATCTACTAGTAGAAGGGGTAGTCACCAGGAACGTGGGTCCTTGCAGACATGGGTGTCTCTTTGTTTGAGGTCACTGGAATGGAAGCCTTGACTGGTCACATCAGAAACAAAGAACTTAACCCAGGGAAGAGGGAAGCTGCCCCTTGTGTGAGGTGACCTCTTCTACGTGCACTCAGGTGTACACACTTATCAACTGCATGATCTTGGAAAGTCACTTTACCTTTCTGAACCTTGTGGGCCTAATAATAGTTCATACCGTAAAGCTTTTATTGAAAAGGAAGGAGCTGGAGAGACAGAAGCTTGTTGACATTGTTGAACATCTGGATTCGGTCCTTCCTGAATCCCATTTTATCTTCATTCAGATGGAGCAAAAATTATTCCTTTCATTCGAGGCAAGCTGAATCGGGTGTTTTAGTCCTGACTTAATGCATTCTCAACAGCATGACGTAAACTAAAAAGATCCAAGCTACTTATCAGAACATCAGAAACCCATGAGCACTGGTCTAACTTTGGTTAAAAGAAGAGGCATTTGAAGAAGGAAACTCTTGTTCCATAGATAACAGGTCTCTGTGAATTGCCTGTAAAGAAGGTTTGCAGGTGGGCTCCATGCATGGGCCAACGACCTCCATATTAGGAAGAATTCCAATAAGCCCTTGGAGGGTAGGGGTGGAGTGGATGTATGATGAGCAGACCTGGAAATCTAGTGACAAAATGGCGTGGGGGTACTCCAAGCCCATAGATAATAATAAAACGCCTCCTTGCCGAAACCGGTTTGGCTCAGTGGATAGAGCATCGGTCTGTGGATTGAAGGGTCCCAGGTTCGATTCTGGTCAAGGGCATGTACATTGGTTGCAGGCACATCCCTGGTAGGGGGTGTGCAGGAGGCAGCTGGTCCATGTTTCTCTCTCATGGCTGTTTCTAGCTCTCTATCCCTCTCCCTTCGTCTCTTTAAAAAAAAATCAATAAAATGTATTTAAAATAATAATAATAATAATAATAATAATACGCCTCCATCTGCTTTCTCAGCCCTCAGGTACAGAGAAGCGGGTTCATTATAATCCAGGGGTCCTGACACTGCATCATAGCCCCATACAGTATTTAAGTCCTCAATCAGCACTCAAGCCCTCCATCATTAAAAAGTAGCTGTAATCTAGAAGCCATAGATCATTGTTTAACAGCAATAAACAGGACTGAGTGATGCCCGCTGTGGACTCCTTTCAAGAGCTTCTCAGTGCTCGGGACAATGCATTCTCACTGTGGCTCGAAGGGTGCTGCATATACCTTCCTCCTTGCCAGCTGTTTTCACGTCTCTCACCCCCAGCTCAGCCACACTGGGCTTCTTCAGTCTCACACACCAACCTCTTTCTCACCCCAGAGCCACCAACCTCTTTCTCACCCCAGAGCCTTTGCAGTGATGTTTGCATTTATCATCCCGGTCACCTCTCCAGCCCCATGCTCGCCATTTCACATGGGCTCCTTCTCAGGCTTCTGTTCCAAGTTTCAGCTTCTCCTCAGAGGGACTGTCCCAACCCCCTAGTGGGCTCCTTCTCAGGCTTCTGTTCCCAGTTTCAGCTTCTCCTCAGAGGGACTGTCCCAACCCCCTAGTCTAAAGCAAGAGCTGATATTCTTCCTCTTCACACCCCTGGTGCTTCCAGTTTTTTTGTGGTCCTTGTTTGATATCCAGCATTTGACCATAAAATCCCACAGGGATCTTGGTCCACTTTGCTCCTGGCTGCAGCCCTGGCACTCACCGGATGCTTGGCACACAGTAGGCACCAAATTAAAAATAATTTGTTAAATGAGTGAATGACACCCAAAAAAATGTGATTTTGTATAAGTGCTTAGCCCTCCTCACTCAGAAATGGCATTCTCCCCCAGGTGTGGATGGATATTCACTTTGTTCACAAATATTTATGGAGCACTTACTATGCTGGGCGCCATGCCCTGTGGAGATAGTGTAACCAAGAGAGATAGAAACCCCAATTTTCTGGAGCTCACATTCTAGTTTGGGGGAGAGAGACAATGCATGAGTAAACAAATTAACAAAGTAAATTTAAATGATGATAAATTCAATGAGGAAAATAAAACAAATCAGCCCAATGGTGACTGGTGGTGGGGACAGAGCCAAACAAGGTCTGATGCAAAGACATATGAACAGACACTGCAGGGAGGGAAGGAGCGGCAAGAAGAAGAGGCTGGGAAGAGCCTGGCAGGTAGAGGATGAGCGAGGACCAAGGCCCTGAGGTAGGAAGCCCTCAGTGGGCTCCAAGAGAGGCGGGCTCAGGTGGAGGTGCCAAGGAGGGAGGGGGGATAAGCTGAGATGGGCAGGGGCTGGGTCCTGGGGCAGAGAGTGGGGGCTATGTGGAAGGGGTTCAGAGATGTGATTCCAGGCCCCTGGGGTGGCTGAGGAAGGTAGAGGGTGAGGCCCAGCGCCGGTTCTGTGAGGCAGCCTTCCTTTAGCCTCTGCTTCTGGAACCCAGGCTGGACATCGGTTCTGGAGAGGCTGGAAAGGCCTGGGGTGCTTTCATCCCCTCCCCGCCTCTTCTTATTTAAACACAGCCTCCCTCACAGTTATTTAAACACAAACTCCTGCAGCGGCTGCTGCCCACCTCCCACACCATCCTCTGCACAGCCTTCCCCTGGGAAAGCCCTCTCCAGGGTGAGTCCCTGCGCTGAGGCAGCAGCAGGGCCGTTTCTAGGCTTCTCCCCCTAAGCACACACCCCCTTTCTCTAGGGCATCACCATGAAATGCTCACTCGTGCCAGAGGCAGGACACTGAATCCATCCTGCCTCCTTCTTTAGAGACCGTCTGGGCAGCAGCAGAGCACCCGTCCCCACCACCGCTGCCCTGGGCCTGGCACAAGGCCCCTGAGGAGGGGTCTTGGGGCAAACACACGCAGACCATTGAACCTCACAGTCCCACCCTTTCCTCTGCTCCAGATGACGCCCAGGGGCCTGTGCGGGCCTGGGGCGTGGGAAAGAATGGCGAAGATCCGCCTCCAGAGTGAGACTGTCTAAGAGGGACCCCAGCCCCAACGTCCTGGCAGAGTGTCCTTAGGCAAGTTCCTTCACCTTCATGCTATTCCCTCCTACGTACACTGGGAAGTCCTACCTTGTAGGGGAGTCAAGAGGATCAGTGCGTTGGCTTTTACATGTGAAAGGGCTCCAAAGGATGCCTGGAAACTAGGAAACATGTTGGCTATTACTATTCTTTTTAAAAAATACATATATTTTATTGATTTTTTTACAGAGAGAAAGGGAGAGAGATAATTAGAAACATCGATGAGAGAGAAACATGGATCAGCTGCCTCCTGCACACCCCCTACTGGGGATGTACCCGCAACCACGGTACATGCCGGAATCGAACCTGAGACCTTTCAGTCCGCAGACCGAAGCTCTATCCACTGAGCCAAACTGGTAAGGGCGACTATTACTATTCTTTCCTCTTTTTGCATTTTACTGCGAGAAACAGACACGCACTCACCTGGCATAAGGAGGGGCGTTGAGTGCAAGGTCTCCCGAAGAAGAGGCTCTGAGACAGGCACACAGTACTGGAACCTGGAATTAGCCAGAGGCCTCTGTGGAGCATCAAGTGGTTAACGTGGGGATAATGGGTTCCCGGAGGCTGGCAGGAGACCTCGTTCTCCTCTGCAAAGGGGCCCCTGCGTGAAGATCCACCAGAAGGTTCACCAGAAAGGAAGGGCCCTGGAACTTTCCTCATTGTGGCAGGTAAGAGATCCTGATATACTGGGCATGCTCAGCGACAGGCAATACAGTGAACTTGGAAAGAGCATGGCTTTGGAGTCAGATATTCTAGGCTCAAGTTCTGGCTCCTTCACTTCCTAGCTTAACCTAGGGTGAGCCACTAACCCTCTCGGACCTCAGTTTTCCCATCTGCAGATTGGGGTTTAAGAAGGGCACTTAGCTTGGTCTGTGTCGCTCAGTGATTGAGAATCGACCTATGAACCAGGAGGTCAGGTTCCATCCACTGGTCAGAGCATGTGCCCAGGTTGCCGGCTTCATCCCAGTGGGGGATGTGCAGCAGGCAGCCTATATGATTCTCTTTCACTGCTTGCATCTCTCTCTCCCTCTCCCTTTCTCTCTGAAATCCATAAATATATATATTTTTAAATTTCATAAAAAAGGCACTTATCTTCAATAGATGTTTTGAGAATTTGATGAGAAAAATGCATGTAAAAGGCTTAATCTAGGACCTGGGTCAGAAATGTGATCAGTAAATACTTCACACACACACACACACACACACACACACAAATAGGTTAAAAAAGAACAACATAGTCTAGAGGCTCTATCACGTGTGTAGACAACGAATGCTGAAATACTGCGTTTGCCTTCGCACTGGAAGTCAGTATCCTGTGGCCTCGTGTGTGATGGTGGAACGTTTGAAGGCCCTCTGCAGTCAGCTCCTCCTGCTTGCCTTTGCTTTGGCACTTCCAGCTCTGCTTGAGGGCTCACCCCACAGCCGCCTCCTTCAGTGAGCTCTATGGTTGGAGCAGTCCTCCTTGGAACCTTGATCTGAGCGAAAGGACATTTCAGGGATGGTTCCTGGTGGAAGCACGCACACAGTGTGGACTGAAGGGTAGGAACACCCCTCCGGGACCCCTCCCCCCACCCGCCATGGGCCACCTCCCCCTTTCAAAAAGCCACCGGAGCGCGTGTTTGAGAAAAGTTAAGCTGTTTTATTTCACAGGATAGCTCCACATCAAACCAGCAGGCACCATCAGAATATGCGACAGAGGATCTACTCAGACACTCTACAGGACGGGCGTCGGCTGTAAGGTAGAGAAACAATATCTGGAAGAGAGGGCAGCACTTCTCATCACGTCGGGGACAAGCAACCAGCAATTTCCGAGGGCGGTTTCAATTTTTTTCCTTTTTTTTTTTTTTTTTTTTTTTTTCCTGACACGGTTTAGGGAGGAAGAAAACCGAAGAAAACAAAACAGACCAGCCACTCTGAAGCAATCGGAACCAAGCCTATTGCCAAACCGTGTAAACAGCCAGCTGCCAGGGGCCGGAGCCCAGCGGGAACTCCAGCAGAGCCTCCCTCTGAGGAAGGCGGGGTGCGTTCTGTTTGTTCTGGTCCAAGAGACAGCTTTGTGAGGGACAGTTCGCACGGAAAGGAGGTGTCCGCGAGGGGCAGCGCTGGCCGTTGGGCCAGTCCCAGAGGGCGGGGCGGCGGGACACTGGCAGATCAACCTCGGAGAGGAGAGGCCGGGAGCACTCCGACCCGGCAGCTCCCCTTCGCTCGGCTCCCCTGGCAGTGTGGGTGTATGTGGGATTCTCTGCACGAGAGAGGAGACCCCAGAGACCGGGGAAGTTGACATGGAACGTCAGCATTAGCTCTGCACAGCAGAAAATCAGCTAAGCCACACTTGGGCTCGCCCTTCCTGCCTTTTCCTCCCTGCCAAGCGCCAAGCCCAATTGGGCCCCCCACCATGGCTGTGAGCCAACCACTCCTCTTTCTCGGGAGAATGAGGCATTTGCTCTTGTGTGGAACCTTTTGGATGTGTGAACAGTGAGGACTCAGAAGACCTAGAGGAAGAACCGTGACATTAGTCCTTGTGGTTTCCCATCAGCCGAGGATGTGCACCGAGGGCCAGGTCGTGCGTGACCAGGTCACAGGAAGTCCCTTGTGTTCATGCTTCCTGAATGAGAAAGAAACACACCCACCAAGGCATTCCAAGGGCTCCAATGGAGAAGCCAGCCCCGGGTCAAGGCCCTTCCCCATGCTGGCTCCCTCTGTGTATCCTGAACACGCTCTGAAGGGTTTATAAGGCAGATCTCTAAACTGCTGGTTCCAGCCGTGGCCAAGGGATGGCTCCATTTCCCAAGAAATTTCTTCATTGAATAGAAACCTGTTAGCCCTTGGGAATCCACTTTGCTCCCGCTCCTTGGCCTGGTGACCTCAGAGGACAGACTCCCAAGTCTAATGCCCGAGCTTACATATCCCTCCCATGGGTGCTCTGTCTGGGTTCAAAGGCGCTTCAAGGTGAGAAATCGTTAGCACTGAAAACAAGGAAAGGCAAGAATTTTTCATAGAATCCCACAGCTCAGAGCAGCTCTTTAAGAGGAAGGGGAGAGAAAGGAGAGAGGGAGAGTGGGGGCAAGCACGGCTTGTTCTCAATTTTATCCGAGGAAGGTTCTTTAGCGGCGCCTGGGCACCAGGGCCCAGGACACTAGACCAGGAAGGAATTGTCTTTGGTCAGTTCTAAATGAACATCTTGCTGGTTCATTCCTAAAACAGACTGAACATCGGTTACACGTAAAGACAAAAGGCTTGACCTCAGGATAAGTCGAAGGTTAAAGAAATCATTCTGTGAAGCAAAAAAAATAATTTAAACAAAAAAATGCCCGTTATCGACAAACTGATCGGCACAGCTCTCAGCAATGGTGATGAACAAGTAGGTAAACACCACTTCCCCTTGTACAACTGGTTATATTGAGGACTACGAACTAGGTTACTACATTTCCCCCACACTCACTGTACAGTTAGGTTTCTCGTATTTTTTTTTTTTTTACATCGAACTATCTACTAGGTGCAGAGATTTGGTGAGTGGTATTGGCTATAATTTAATTGTTGCCTTTTTTAAAAATTACGATTTCACATTTTAACAGTTACTTTCCAGCATTGAAGCAAAGACAGCAATATATAGTGGACTAACACAGGCAGGAGTCAGGAAGAGAATGCCAGTGCTGGGTGACTGTGGGTGGGGCGGGGTGCCTGTGGAGGGACAGAGACATGCAGAGTGCCAGATGAGGAAGTGGGGGGTAAGGGGGAGGCAGAGAATGGGGGATGCAAGAAAGTATTTTTCCATTTGGCGATGCGTCAAGGCTCAGATTTGGGGCTGGATGAGTGAGGTGTGAGCTTCTCTAAATGTGAACTCATCCACCTTTTCCCAATGGAAAAACAGGTGCTTAAAGAATGCAGCTACAGCTCTGCCTTCTGATAATTCAGTGAAAGGCAGGTCCATTCTCAGGAATGAAGTTAGTCAATTCAGAGGAAAAGCCACATGGTTGGACTGGTGTTATGTAGATCAGGCACCAGGTCTGTCAGCTCAGATTTTTCTCTTTGCGTCCGGTAGTCCTGGCAGAGAATGCTACATTTTGCACAGGAGGCAACTATATTTAAGGTCTGGGAGTATCTATGGGGTAGGAATGGGATATCTTGTACCCTGGCTGGACAGAATAGCATCCTTGCAAATAAATGACTTTTGTGACTGACATGACCCTCTCTCTCAGGCACCTATTACATGGTGAGCACAGCCTATCCCAGGGTGTTGCTTTCTTTTCTAAGCTATAAAATGGGGATATCTTCATACTGCCCACAGAGGTGCTTGCTCTGAGGTGCTTTCATTTCCAGGGGCTAAGAGAACAGTTGGTTCTAGGCAAGACAAGGAAGGTCAAGCTTGCCATTGCCTCTCCCTGGTATTCCCTTTTGGGGCCCTTGCTTGCTTCTTCCTTCCACTGTGTGCTCTCAATGTCAATGCTCAAGTGAGGCAGAAGGGCTTACTGTTCCCTCACACCCAGGGATTGGTGACTCAATAGGCCCCTCCCTCTGGAGGAGTCACCTTTTTGCGGAAGACCAGATGGCAAGGCAAGTCATCTAAAGGGGTGAAATGATATTGATGGAATTTCGAGCATCTGTAGGTGATATATCTGCAGGCCTGGGCTTGGGGATTTTATGAAGCTGGTAGAAAAATTCCACTGCCTACTCTCAAAAGCCATTAGGAGGTTTTAAAAAGATGGATTTGAGCTAAAAGACTTACCTAATGACAATAAAAAGAATAATCGTGTTGGCACAGTGCTTTCTAAACAGCTTACTCATTTACATTTTTATTCTTATTATCTTCATGTTATGGAGCAGGAAACTGAAACTCAGAGAGGTGCAGGGACGTGCCAGAGTCCCACAGCTCCCAAGTGGTGGGTGCTGGGACACATGGGACTTTTTATTCCTAACCACAGCCATGGACATACCCAGAGGCCTAGAGAAAGAGATGAAGCTTGAGAAGAATAGGGAGGAAACCCTTGGCTTGGCACGAAGGTGGTGAATAAAAGTGGTCCCGTTAGAATCTAGTTCATCTGTGTTCCATTACCCATCAGCAGCCATCTCTGGCAAACCAGGAGATGCAAAGAGGAAGCAAAATAGAATCGAAGGAGGGTGATGCAGAGGCCCTTTCCCTGCCAAGAGGGGAAAGCTTTGCTCAGAATACTTGACGATCACACCCCCCCCAATTCTTTCACTGTGCTTCATGTACGTTAAATGCTCTGGAGAAGGTAGGTGAAAGGGAAGGGAAGGGAAGAGCGAGAGGGAAGCTATTTCACTTGCATAAATGCAACCTAAGCATTCTCTGAGACAGAAAGTGCCAAGGACCGCCCTCTCCCCAGCCCTGGGCACTTACGGTTCATGCACTTCGTGCAAGCGGGCACCAGCCAAAGTGCGTCATGGCCTGATTTTTAATGAAAACGATGTGACTCAGAACCTCCTTGCCTGTTTAGTTCCACATCTGACACAGTATAATTAGTAGAAAGAGGAAAGGAAAAAAAAATTAAATATTTTGAAAATTGTGTAAGTTAAACCTCTATAGTTACCAGAATTATTCCTACAGCGTTTCTAGGTTTTGAAGTGTTCCATACCACTGTGGTCTTATTTATTTTTTCCCCTTTTCCCAACCACACATCACACTGTGCTATGATGGGGCTTAGATTCTCATTACCCCCTTTTCTACGCACAAACACACGGATGCTGTGGTCGGACGGTCTTTCTGCCAACATCCTCCCGTGCCTTTGGGGGTACAGTTGGTCCTTGGCCTTCGGGTGGAAAGGCAGGGTCTCTGGGTTGGACAGGGGGTTTCCCCACCTCTAGGAGCAGCCTGCTCGGGGACTGCCTACCCCACCCTTCGTTAGGGGCAGACTGTTCTGGAAGGCCACGGCTTCTGGAGACAGTGGGAGACTGTGTTTTTCTGCAGCTTAGTGGTATATTGCTTCGTTCGCAGTTACTGTGGGCCTCTTAAGTTCTCCCAGAAAAAGTCCCTGCACATCCCACCAAATAACAGCGGGAGGTGTTTGGTGGCATGGGTCTGAGGTAAATCTAAGTTTCGTAAAAAGAAAAAAAGGAGATCCTATATACATTTAGTATGTGACCTGATCTAGTTATATGTATATAGATGCATAAATATATATATATGTACACACACCTACAGACACATTCATACATAGATATGTGTGTATAGCACACATATACATATAATATGCACACATATTTATGTATGTAGTAGAGAGAATGTCGAGAGGATCGTTTTCCAGTGACGATATGCCAGCGAAATCGCTTAACATGTTGCCACCACCTAAGGACACGCTCTGGCTGGGGCTGCTTTGCTCCCGCGCCTGCTCCAGCTCCAGCTCCAGCTCCTGCTCCTGCTCCTGCTCCTCTGGCCTCTGTCACACCCACCAGCTGGATGGAGCTGCGGCCAGCGCCGGGCCTCAGCTCCACACAGACCTTCTTTCAGGCTGACCCCTGGCCAGGAGCACTGGGAAGGGTGTGGAAGTCACAGAGGCCCCCGGCCATGGTGTGCCCCAGCCTGCCTGCAGGTCACATGGTGCCCGACTTGTCCGCTGAGCTGTTGGGGAACATCTTCTCGGTGGGTGTCACGGCCGGGCTGCCCACCCCTGAGCTGCTGCTGCTGCTGGAGCGGTGCTGGACGGCGGGCCGCACGGGCCGCACGGGGGGCGGGCGCAGCTGGGCGCCGGCCAGGCGGGCGGACAGCGCGGGCTTGAAGGTGGTCATCATCTCCGCGGAGGAGCTGCAGCCGCGCCGCACGGCCGCGTCGGGGTCGCGGATGACGATGGTGTGCAGGGGGCTGGCGGGCTCCGAGCTGGCGGGGCCGGGCGGGTTCTTCAGGGGCTCCAGGGTGTCCAGCACCACGTCCGGCGCCTGCTTGACCGTGTTCTGCCTCTCGAGTTCCCGCAACTCGTGCAGAGCCGTGCTCATGGTCTTCTCTATGTCCTGGGGGCAGAGAGGGCTCTGGTCAGCACCCAGGCTGGAGGCCTGGGGCCAGTCCTTCCTGGGCAGCGTGGGACAATCTGAGGGAGGTTTCCCCAGGGGCCAATCGCTGGGCTGGAGACTGAATCCCCAGGGTGTCGCCAGGTGGGGAATCCACATGGTTGTGACCTGCACTCTGCCTGAACAGGAAGCTGACAGTGAGGGCTAGTCAGACAGCTGGCTAAGAAAGGCAAACTCTGCAGCCAGGCAGACTTGGTTTCAAATTCTGGCTTTGCCACTTCTTTACTGCATGACTTGGACAAGTCACCTCAGCTCCTTGAGCCTCAGATTGCAGATC